TGGCAGACTGGGCAATACAGCCGACATGATGGGCGATAAATTCATCGTGGGCCGCTTCACTTAAGAGCATGACGCGACCGCAGATGCGGATTTGACTACGCCATGTCGAATATCAGGAGCTCCGCAGGCGCCCGCATTGCGTCGTGGGTCTCCATATTCTACGCGGGCGGCTCGCCCTGGCAGTGCGTGAGCGAAGTTATATGTCGCACGGGCGGTGATGCCAAGGCCTTGAAGAGGCCCGGGGGTCACGTGGCAATTTCAAGGAAACTGTCCTGAACATTTTCGAACTCGCGGAATGAGTTTTATTGCGTGAGGGAGCTGTGTATTTGGAAAGGCCGACTCCGTGCCAGTACTGGCGCGATGTTTAAGTTTCAAAACTGTTTGCCAGTCGTGCGTGGGTGCGCTTATGGTCTTGTCAATGCCACGGGGGAACATGTGAAGACGCCGTGGGGACTTCGTATCCCTTTGGTTATCATTGCTAGGGGGATCGAGCGAAACTGTGGCGGCACTCGCAGAAATATTGAAGCCAGGGGCGTGATTGTAAGCTTGCTGAGGATTTTGCAGATGCATTCGCGAGACGTGTGCGCCTGTTTGCTGCTGCTGCTGCCGCCTCTGGTGCCGCCGCCGCTGCTGCCGTCGCAATCCCTCTGCGTGATGATCGCTCACCCGCCGCTGCGGTGGATCGTGTGAACTCGGGCAGCTCGGGCAGCCGCGCTGGCGCCGCCCCTGCCCTGCCGTGCCGCCTCCGCCATTGCGCGGCCGCCGTCCTGCTACTCGCCTCGCGGGCTTTGCGACCGCCCGCGCCTGGGCCAGCTGCATTTCTCGCCCGCAGGCGTCGAAGGTCTGCCACCGACGGCAGAGAGCCAACGCCCAATGCAGGCGGGCCAGACAGGCTCGCAGGAGATACAGGATTAGCGGAGTTCGCTGGAACTGTGTTCCGAGCGCCCCCAGAGCAGAGGAAGGCAGCGCACCTGCTGTCCCCTCTCTTCGGCAACGTGCCGAGCTGCGCGTCTGCGGCGCGGTTGGGGGCCGCGGTCTGGCGGCGCGTTGCCGCGACGGAGGCAGGGCCCAAACCGCCGTGGAGAGGGCAGTAGGGGGCCTGCAGAGTGAAGGCGGGGCGGTGGCTGGGGGCTCGGCCTCGGGCAATGTTCGACATGGATCAGGCGGCGCTCCGAAGGGGGAGAATAATGCTAAGATGAAGGAGAGGGAGCCCACCATTACCAAGCAGGTGGTGAAGCTGAAAGATGGCAAGGCGAAGAACCGCCAGGTCGACTGGAAGGCCGTCCTGCGATTCAGATCAGCGGCTGCGCAGGCTGCGCAGGGGCCTGAACATTTTGTCGCGGTGCGCGATCCCTCTCGGGCGCCGATGGCTGACAACTATAGTCCCATGCGAATTCGATGTCGTGGCTCGCCTCCGCGGGCTCGCGGGTCGCATGGCGGCGCGCGTTGCCGTCAGCATTTCCACTGCCACCTGAAATGGGTGCCTGGGGCCCGACTCTGCGCGAGCATATCGACGCGGGCCCGGGCCGACGCGACGCAGGTCCGTCGGAGTGCGCGAGGGGCCGGGGCGGCTCTGAGTCCGCGAACAGCAAGGTCCCCGTCGGAGGGCGGCCGCTGTTGGTGGAGAAACCACAGTGCTTTCCCAGCGTGCCAATCGATCGGCGCCACCGCTACTGGGGGCTCGCCCCCGGGGGCGGCTCCTGTTGGATACCGCGTCCTTTCGGCCGTGACATGGGGGCTTGGCTTCTGGGGCCAGGGCGAATGTCGCGCCGGTGGATTGGACGGATGATTTCAAAACGGCAGTTCGGGCTGTGAGCACCTCGCCTGAGGTGGCTGTTGCCGGGGTGTTTGAGAAGGTCAGATTCCCCCCTTAGAAGTGGCCGCGGGTTCCAGAGTTCCAGGTCGCGATGGGCTGGCGGTGGCTGACCCCCCGCTGCGGCCAGGGCTGCCGCCGAAGAGTGGCTAGACCAGCATGCCAGAAGTCAGCTGGCCGAAAGGTCCGTTTGCGTTCCTCGAGCGGGGGCGGGGGCTTGTGGATGTTCTCGAGCGTGTCGTTGAGTGGCGCCGGTGAATTCCGCCCGTGGCCGAGCCCATGTCAATCGCAGAGGTCAGTCGGTCGGGTGACAATCGGATTGGCGAGACTTCGCGAAGCCGGAGACGAGCCTCTCTAATTACCTCAATTTCGGAGGGCCCTACGAACTTCGACTCGCATAGGTTTTCAGGTCGCGGGGGAATTATGGCAGGCGCTGCAGGGGGGGCTGAAGATACGCGCGGTGTTGGAGGAGCTCGTCGAGAAGGACTGGAGCTGATCGGCGAGCTCATAATGGCCACTAAATGGAGAGGTGGCTCGTGTGACGTGCGTGAGCTCCCGCGGAGATGTCCGCGGAACGACAGACGGGCGAGTCGAGGGGCGCGTGGGGGATGGAAGACGCGATCGGTCCGTGGGGGAGCCTTCTGCGCTTGTGATCGTGCTTGCTATATCCCAGAGCGGTGAACTCGCCCCGGCGCTCCCGCGCTGGCGCTGCGCTGGGCCGGCCAGCCTGGGATAGCTGCAGGTGGTAGAGACTCGGCCGCTGCGCCCGCGGCGGTTGCCGCTGGTTCTCGGCTGGCGGAGCAGCGCGGGCGGCCGCTGGGGGCGCGGCTCCTGGGGGCCCCAGCGGTTGCGACTTGGGGCTTGCTTTTCGTGCTGTCGCGACGAATGAATCGAGAGTTCTTTGCCTGGCAGTGCCTCGTGGCCATGTCCCTGCTCGCGCGCGGGAATTGTGGCCCGCAGGTGCCAACTGCTTCGACAGGTCGCCGCAGTGGTGGCGCGGGCGGCCACCGCGGCGCTGCTTCGCTCCAGGCAGAAAGGGCAGAGACCGCCCGTGTCAGCGAGGCCGAAGAGTGACGGCCAAGTCTCTTGGGGGACCGAGACAGGTCGGGGGCGGCTTGCGCGCGAGGTGCAGTTCCCAGAGTTGGCTCACAGGCGGTTCGCGGTGGAGGCCGATCGCATTGTGGAAGAGGGGCGACGCGGCAGCGGGGCCCCCAGTGCTTGCGCGGTAGCTGGAGGCGCGCGGATGACGCCGCAGGCCGGGCCGAGCTGTCTCCCCGCGCCTCTGCAGCGGGAGCGGGCGTTGCCCAAAATGGGTGCGTTGTGAACTGATTTCTGTCTGTGGTTCGTGCGGCTGGACGGTGGACTTGGCGCGATGGATGCCGACGCGCGCCGCAGAGGTCGGCTTCGCAGACCGCCGCGGGGTGGGTCGATGCTGCCGCCCCCTCTACTGCATTTGTCTGCTCTCGAAGGGCTCGCTGATTAGCGTGGTTGGTTTCCGCAGCTACACAACTGGATCGCGCTGGACTTGTGCGAGCGGTGGCAGAAAGGATGCGCGCGAACGCGCCCCCCCTCCTTCGGCCGGGCATTCGCGGAACTTGCCAGCCATGGCGCTCGCTGTTGAGAAGGCCACGCTCCTCGACCTCGCTAGACCAGCGGGGGCTTTGGCGAGGGTGACGCAATGGCTGCGCTACGAGGCCAGGGCCATATTTTACCAATTTGCCAGGAGTAAGCGGCAACCCAGCAAAACACATGGGAGGGCGAAGAGGATGAATAGTAATCGGAGGAGGAGGAGAAGGAGGATGAGGACGAGGACCCGTGTCAACCAGAGGCGCATCAACCATATTGCAAACCCCTCCCCTTCTGAACTCATGTTTCATCGGCACATACACGGACTTGTTCTCATTGTGAGAAGTGCCAATACGGAATATCATCACCTGATCGACCCCAGTCGCTGCAACGAGCTGTTTATTTGATTTTAACGCCGCGAATACACGTTTCTGTTGCGTCTTGGCATTCCTAAATGGTGCCAGCACACGGATCCTAGGACTACAACGCCATGATTCAACGTGACTTTTTCATCTGGGCAATTTCCTAGCGTGTCAGAGCATCTTTTGCGGGAGTGCAACCGTTCGAACAGTCCAAACGGGTGTACGTTTGTAAGACGCGCGCGCGGTGCTAACGTGAGGGCCACACTTGGAAACAAAAACCGTCCTCCATCTTTGAAGCTGGTGTATTAAACAACGATTGCGATCGGCGCCAAAACGAAAACCACATGTTGGATCAATCCCGCCCTCCACTTTTGACGTTGTTGAAAATTTTGATATGGTTGCGCGCGGTGCAAAGGCGCGCGCATAATTTTGGCAACCGCCCACCTTCACACATGTGGGGGCGCGACGGTGGAATGACAGATTCGACGAAAATGGATGGAGCAGATGGCAGAGGTGGACGAGAACGAGGAAAAGGAGGTAGCGGATGCGGCGTATCAGGCGGATCAACAGGAGGAGGGGGAAGAGGAGGGGGACGACGACTAGAGGACAAAAAGGCGTAAGAGGACGAAAATGAGTTTGAGGAAGGCGAGGCGGATGTGCGAGGATAGGGGGCAAGGGCTGGAAGGGCAGGATGGGATGTGGAAGCTGAGGCAGCAAGAGGAGAGGCATCAGGGATGAGTGGAGGGTGAAGAGAAACAGCGAGGAAGAGGAGGAAAGGGAATGAGGTGTAGAGAGGAGAAATATGTCGAATGCGATGAAGAAGAACACTTGGACGGTGGAGGTAGTGCGGGAACCGTACGATGTTTTGGGGCAGCTCTCTCATAGTGGTTGCGTCTTTTTCTTCCTCTTCCCCCTTCCATCGTCGTCGTCGTCGTCGTCGTCGTCGTCGTCGTCGTCGTCGTCGTCGTCGCCATTGCCGTCGCTGTCGCCGTCGCCGTCGTCGTCGCCGTCGCCATCGCCGTCGCCGTCGTCATAGTCGTCGTCGTCGTCGTCGTCGTCGTCGTCGTCGTCGTCGTCGTCGTCGCCGCCGTCCCCGCCGCCGCCGCCGCCGCCGCCACCGCCGCCGCCGCCGCCGTCGTCGTCGTCGTCGTCGTCGTCGTCGTCGTCGTCGTCGTCGTCGTCGTCGTCGTCGTCGTCGTCGCCGTCCTCGCCCGCGTCCTCGCCCGCGCTCCTGGCCCGCGCCCGCCTCGTCGCCCGAGGCGCCCATCACCATGTGGCTCCGCGCCCGGCGCCCCGCCATGGAGAAGGTGCTGGGGGACTGCTGGTCGGCCCGGGGGGGGCCGCCGCGCGCCCGGCCGTGGCCTCTCTCTCGGGCGGAGGCCCCGGGGGCGCCCCGCCGAGGCCCGGAAAGGGGGGCTTTCGTCAGAGGCTTCGGGGAGGGGGATGGGGGATGGGAGGAGGAGGAGGAGGAGAGGAGGAGGAGGAGGAGGAGGAGGAGGAGGAGGAGGAGGAGGAGGAGGAGGAGGAGGAGGAGGAGGAGGAGGAGGAGGAGGAGGAGGAGGAGGAGGAGGAGGAGGAGGAGGAGGAGGAGGAGGAGGAGGAGGAGGAGGAGGAGGAGGAGCTTCGGGAGGGGCTGCGGAGGTTTCCGGCATTTTTTGGGGGGGCGGGGTGGAGTTCTCGGGCCGGACGAAAGGGGGGGAATAGGGAAAGGGGGAGTTACGAAATTTGCTGCATGCAGCTGGTTTCGGCGTCACCGAGGGGCCCATTCCTCGAGACATGGCCGCCTCCGGCGCCGGGAGGCGCCGGGAAAATCAGCTACGTGAGCTGATTCTCACCCCCCCCTTTGCTATCCCCCCCTTTCGCCCGACCCGAGAGTTCGTGTGCCTGGGCGGGAGGGGCGCTCCCCGCCGCGGTGGGCCCTCTGGAGGCTGGGTAGGGCTTCGAGGCCGGGCCGCTCGTCTGCACGTGCGCGGGTGGGCAGAGCGGGGGCGATGGTGCCACGAGGAGCGGGAGCAAGGGAGCGAGGTGAGGTGGGCCTTCTCCGTCGGCCGTGGCCCTTCCTTTAGCTGCCCTGGCCGCGCGCCTGGGGCGTGCGGCCCTCCCGCGGAGGGGGGCAGACAGGGGGGGGCGCCCAGCAGAAGGAAGAGTCCACGGCCAAGGGGATGGGCTCCGACGCTCGCAGCGTCGGGTGGGGGTCCTGGGATCCGCCTCCTCACCTCCGGGGGTCTCCTCTCCCTGCTGGCGCCCCACTCCCATCGCTGACGGTGGGGGCATCGTGTCGCCAGAAGTGGGGGCTCGTTGCCTGGGAGTGGCACGGGGCCCTGCGCCGCGGCCCCCACATCCGCCACCCTGTAGACGAGGCAGTTCTGTCATCTCCTGCATCGCTGCACCGCCATCGCACCGCGAATTAATTAGAGCTCATTGACATTGCATGCGCCCACATGTGCCAACACGACGGTGTGTCCTCCCCTGTCGCCCGACGTCCGCGGCCACTCCGGCTCGGGCGCTCGGCCGTTTCAAAGCAACACGTCCACCACCCTGGGGCATCATGCTCCTGGGAGTGGCACGGGGCTTCGCGCCAGGTCCCCGTGATCCGCCACACCGTAGCAGAGGCATTTCTGTCATCTCTTGCCTGGCTCTACCGCCATCGCACCATTACTTGGGGCTCATTGAGGATACCCATCGGTCGTTGAAGGCAGGTATTGTTGGAGTCCCAGATTCCACTCTACTTTAAGCGCCTTCCTACTGGAATGATCGAGCGGCTTCACCTTTTCCATCCTCTTCAGGGAGCGGGCGGACACCCAATCTGCTCTCAACGCCTTGCTACTCCATGTTCCCACCTATTTTTTCCGACCGATGGGTTCAGGAAACTACTGGTTTGGTGGGCTTTCCGCGTCTCCCGCCCTCGCGCCTGTGTGGGTACAGCGAACCTCTTGTAATCGTTTTTTGTTGTATAGAAATCGTATTATTTGTTTGTTATGTGTTTGTTTGTTGTTGTTTGTTTATTGTTTGTATTGTTATGCATGTTTGGGCTAGTTATTTGCTTTTTTATGTTAGGTGTTATGTTTTTGGGTTGTGTGTTGTTTTGTTATGTGTGTTGTTATGCTTTTGCTTTTGCTATGCATTTCTTTGTTGTTATGTTTTTTGGTGTCCTGTGTCATTCATTTGTTTGAAGTGCCTATCTCCTGGGGGGGCAGGCGGCCCGTCGGGGAGCTCCCAGCCCGTCTTCTGGGGGGCCTCCCGCGAGCCTGCCGGGTGTCTCGGGGGCTGCCTTTTTTTAAGTCGGGCATGCCCCTCTACAAGGACGAGTGCTCACACATCGTTTAGACACGCAGTCTGGGGACGTTTTTCCTATCATCTGCTTGCTGACAATGTTTGGACTTGCTTCGACCAGTTGTGCATGCCCCTCTACAAGGACGAGTGCTCACACATCGTTTAGACACGCAGTCTGGGGACGTTTTTCCTATTATCTGCTTGCTGACAATGTTTGGACTTGCTTCGACCAGTTGTGCATGCCCCTCTACAATGACGAGTGCTCACACATCGTTTAGACACGCAGTCTGGGGACGTTTTTTTCCTATCGTCTGCTTGCGGACAATCTCTGGACTTGCTTCGACCAGTGGTGTTTTTCCTCCAAGACCGGCCTGGAGGACGACATGCCCGACCCGAGGCTGTCTTGGGAGCAAGGGTTCGTTTCGGGCCCGTCCTCCTGGACCTCCTTGCCGATCCGCCCTGGCAAGTCTCGGAGGGCAGCGGGAGCCGTCTTGGGGCCGAGCCGCCCATTCTCGGCCGAGCAGTGTCGGGCAGCCCGTCAGTGGCCGATCAGCCGATCAGCAGCCGAGCAGCCGATCATCCAATAAAACGGGGCTAGGATCGGGATAAATCGCTCCAGAGCGTTCTGGAGCGCTCTCAGAGCGTTCCGGAGCGCTCTGGAGCGGCCGCGGCGCCCAATACATCCTCCAAACCCGCCGATTCTCAGAGATTTCGAGTTATCCCGATCCGATTTTGTCCCGATCTTCGCGTCGTTTTATCCAATCCGCCGATCGCTCTTCTCGGCTGATCGGCTGGGCTCGGACACTGGAGGTTCGCGCCGCGTCGACGGGCGGCGACCTCGGCGGGGGCGTGCGAAAGGTGGACTGCCGCCCGCGATCCAGCATCGGCCGATGTCGAACGACCTGACTTGCTCTTGGAGTAGTTTTCTGCTTGATTTGCAGAAAGTAATGGGGTAGTAGTAGTAGTAGTAGTAGTAGTAGTAGTAGTAGTAGTAGTAGTAGTAGTAGTAGTAGTAGTAGTAGTAGTAGTAGTAGTAGTAGCAGTAGTAGTAGTAGTAGTAGTAGTAATACTACAAAAAGGCTGTTGATGTGGAAAGGGCGATCGTTCAATATTAGCAATGGAGTAGTATTAAAACTGCAAAAAGTAATGGAGTAGTAAAATATGGATGAAGTAAAACAGGACTACTTGATGTTGAACAAGTAATGGAGCAGTAGTAATAGTACAAGAAGACTTTCTCTTGGAACGGCCGGTCGTTCAAGACGGAGCGCTGCCCGCGGTGTGAGAAGCCAAGGCGCCCCAGGGGGGATTCGGGCCCCCCCCAGAGGGGCCCCCTCCTCCCTCCTCCTCCCTCCTCCTCCTCCTCCTCCTCCTCCTCCTCCCCTCCTCCTCCTCCTCCTCCTCCTCCTCCTCCTCCTCCTCCTCCTCCCCCTCCTCCTCCCCCTCCCCTCCCCTCCTCCCTCCTCCCCCTCCTCCTCCCCTCCTCCCCCTCCTCCTCCTCCTCCTCCTCCTCCTCCTCCTCCTCCTGCCTGCCCCAAGGGGAACTCGTGGGCCCCCCAGAAGGGGGCCTCCTCCTCCTCCTCCTCCTCTTCCTGCCTGCCCCAGGGGGATTCGGGGGGGGGGGTGACCACGCCGCGTGGTGCGTCGGTGGGGACGCGGGGCCGCCGCACGGCTCTGGGACGCGGGCCGTTCCCCGAGGACGTCTCGTGCGACCGGGGCCCTCCCAGGGTCCTAAAGTCACCACCCACCAAACCACCCCAACCCAACCCGAAGGCTCAGATTTACCCTCGATTTCCAGTGGGGGGGGTCGGGAAACATCGAAAAAACACGTGTGGAACCCTTACCCCCCCCAACCCGAAATTCGGATCTTCGGGTTGGGTTGGGGTGGTCTGGTAGGTAGTCATAAAGCCGTGCGGCGACGGACCCATGCGTGGAGGTCTCTGCGGACTGCGAGGCCGCCGCTGGGCCCGTCGCCGCGCGGTTCTGGGACCCCCCGGGGATTCCATCGGGGGCGCCAGAGAGGGGGGTGATGACCGGGCGGGGGGTGGATATCATGGCGGGGGCCATGATATTCCCCCATGTTTCAGGGCGCCTCTTCCTTTTCTCATTGCGTCCCTGGCCCCCCCCCCCAGGGCCGCGCCCATGCCGCCGGCCATGATTTGCACCCCCCCCCCCCTCTTCGACGCCCCCCTCTTGCACGCCCCCGATTCAACGGGAGGGGGGGCGGCGGCGCACGCTGCTCGCAGGATGCTTCAGGGTGGGGGCGGCACCTCCGGGAGGGGGGCCGCCGTCTATCACCCCACTTAAAGTTGCCCATGAGCTCGTTGGAGCGGGCACTACGGTGTGGCCCGATTTTGTTTCATCGAAGCGTTTGCCTTTTCGGGTCTTGCGGCCGTGCTGGCTCGAGGCAAGCTCAATGATTCGGTGAGTTTACTTATACGTTGTCTGTGCAATGGTTGTGTTTACTTTCGGAAAGACAGTGCGCGTCACCAGTTCTCGGATTGGTTGGGCGCAGATCATTGGACAGGCGTCTCTGGTATTCGTGATATTCATTGCCAGTGCGCGCAACGGCTCCCATCTAGTCGGCTCAAGGGTCTCTGGATCGGCTAATCTTTTCGCATACCCTCCAGGTCGAGGCTGTCGCCCCAAATATGATTTTATGGAGGACGCCTACGGCGAAACACCGTCGTCCCCTGCCTTTCGACAGCGCCTACGTGGCCCAACTTTGCGGCTGGAGCTCGGCCAAGCTATCGGACGATGTGTTCCACCAGCCGTTGTGGAAATCCTTCGGGGAACACGTGGGGAGAAAGAAAAGGAGGACAGAGAGGAGAAATGAGGAGGATGAGGAGGACTCTTGGGAGCCTCTTGGGGCACTATCTGGACCTTTTGGGAGTTTCCTGGGGGTCTGTAGGAGGCCTCTTGGGGGCTTCCGTGGGCCTCTTGGGGGCATTTGGAGGCTTCCTAGGAGGCTCTTTGGTCGCCTGGGGGCGTTCATGGCCCGTCTGACGTCATTGGAAGCAGTCTTTGGGGCCTTTCTGGGCCGACTTGGGGCCG